CCACTGTGCCAGTTGCTTTTCGTTCTCTACATTATTTTTTTAATTCTTGAATTCAACAAGCTTTCCAGGTTGGAAACTGGGGAGACGTTTTGCTTTTCTGGTTTATTCTTTCCTAGTTCTCCATCTGACTGGCATCTAGAAACCCATTAGGCCTCAACTGAAACGTCATTTCCCCATGGGGATTTTCTTGAGCACTTCTATCATTACTCTTAGTTTTCTAAAAAGATTTATTGATTTTTATTTGAAAGACAGGGTTACAGAGCAAGATGCAGAGATACACATTACTCCCCTGGTGATCAAAACTCCAGAGCTGAGCTGAGCTGAAGATAGGACCCTGGAGCCTTTTTCAAGTCTTCCACATAGGTACAGGGACCCAAAGACTTGAGTCATCTTCTGTTGCTTTCCCAGGAAATAGGCAAAGAGCTGGATAGGATGTGAAAGAGTTGGGACACAAACCAGTGCCCATATGGGATCCTAGCGCCGAGGAAGGAGGATTAGCTCACTGTGCCAGGGTACCAGCCTCTATTCTTTTTCAATTTATAGAAGCTATTCAAAGTCACAATGACTTCTCAACTTTCTCTGACAATAGCTTTGAGTGTTATCCAATAATTCAATTTTTGAGCTTAACTCCTTTCATGCAGGAAGAAGAGTGAAGCAAAGTAGAAATCGAGTTACTTCACTTCCTCTTACATCCACTATGACAACGGGAGAGGATCCCCTTATTCATTGCTTTGTTCCTTTCCCTCAACACTTTTCCCCAGCCTCATCCCACCCTTGGATTTACTGTTCTTAAACTACACTGACAGCTTGTGTGGTGCCCTCTTAATCATCACTAGTCACGTGTTGGTTCTTCATCAGTCCTATAAGCCATCGATTTGTAAATGCTGAATTTTATTAGAGTTTCTTATAGTTTCATGGGTTTTTCTAGGTCTCTATATTCAGCTTCCTTTCAGGGGTAGGTAAAGTGCTATTTTCCGAATCTGTGAAAGTTATTTCTTCTGTACCTATCATTTTAAGAACCCCACCTCCTATCCAACTTGCCGGTGACTCCATGTTGCCACATGCCGACATTACTTCCCTCATCCTTCATCTGTCAGATGTCACCATGGACCATTTCTTTTTACTTAAACAACTTCCTGGTTTTGCTCGCCATGACATTCTCTTCTGGTTTCCTTCCAAATAGACTTTCTTTTCACTGAGTGCACTATTAGAGAAGTCCAGAGCCCAGTCTTTGGACATGTATTTTTCCATCTCTTTGGTATCTCTGTGGAGATGCACACATCAAAGATGGCTTTAAACAGCATCCATAGGCACTGGATTCCCAATGTTCTCATTCAGCTGTGACTTCTGCTAAGTGCTCCAGATTCCAAATTACAAAAGTCCAGTTAGGAAACATAAAAATACCTCAAAGGGCTGGAAACGCATGTCTCATTTCCTTTACTGGTCTACTTCTCCCCTCACTTAGCCATCCTGTGAATTAACATAACCATCAGCCAAGCATCTTCCATGCGGATGCTGGTTATCCCTCTGGTCCTTCTCCTGCTTCCCCACTCTCACCTGTCGTTAGTAAGTTCTATCAGCTCTGCCCTCACTTTCTGAATCTATTTCTCTCTACAGCCACACATCCCATTTCAATCTAATGTCTTGTCTTCTGGAACAGTTTCCTTACTGGTCTTTTACTCTGGACATGCTACAACCATCCTCTTCCAGGAAGATAATTTTATTTCCTTAGCTTTGATCATGCTTACCACAAAGGAACAATGCAAATCTGAGATGATTAATATGCTAAACATTCTCATTTGATCATTACACAATGTGCAGGCTAATTGTGGAACCTCTCTGGGCACCAAAAATGCAGATACATGCTTCAAATCATCCACACATTACTTCCCGTACCTGGTGCAATGTAACAGTTGCTGTACTACATTACCTAAACGATAGTGACAATGGTAAGATGTTCATATACCTTCAGGGCAGATACAACCTTTTTTCTTTACAGATGTTTGAAATCTGAGGTTGGCTGAATATAAAGAACCAGCATTTGCAGACACAGGAGACTGACTATATACATGCACTGAACAATCACACAAAAATTCATTGAGTTCTTATGTGTTAACTTAAAATAAAACTTAGGAAAATTACCTCCCCTTACACTTTTCCTTCTCACTACATTATAGGTTTCTCTAAATCACTTCATATTTCAACCTGTGAACATGCTTTTTTTGCAACACTGAAACTTGCAGCACTTCTCATTAGTTAGTGTATGTGCGTCCTCTGACCAGAATGGAATTGCTGCAACAGCTGAGCTCTCACATGTTGCACTGACTGCTCTTATCCGCAGTACTTAGAGGAGCATTACAGTTTGAGCATACTCAATAACATTCCCACGGAAGAACATATCAATAGGACATATCAAAATCACAGTTCAGGATGAAAACCAAAGCCTTCGAAAGCGTCTTCTCTCAATTCACATCCTTGTGGCCTCTCCTGATCCCCATTTCCTGCTCCTCTCCCTCACTCATGCCATTGCAGGTGCACAGGCTTCTGGAAGATGCCAGGAAAGCCTCTGCTTGTTCTCCTTTCATTCTGGAATGTTCTTCCTCCTTGTGTTTACATAGCTTACTCCCTTGCTTCAGATTCATATTGAAATAATATCTCAATGAGACTTCTCCTACATTTCCATCGCTCATTTCACTGACAGCTTTGGCAGGCCTCTTTCACTTTGCATTCTCTCCTTAACATTGCTGTGCCCAGTTTTATTGCTACTGTCCCATCAATGTAACTTGCTCCCCTTACCTTTTCTTGTCCTCCCAAGTAAAAGGCAAGCTCAATGGGAGCAGAGCTTTTTGTCTGTTTTGTATATTTCTGGCTCACAGAGCCCAGAATAGTGCCTTGACACTCTTAATACATATTTACTGATTAAGTGAACATGTGCCACAATGGATCTTATTTTTCTTCATAAACTGTTGATTAGTTAAAACACTGAATCCATTTAAAACTTTTTGGGGTCATTTGTTAAGTGGAATGTTGTTGTTGATAATAGAGACAAGTTTAAGTCATTTAAATAAGGCCAATGGGAGGAGACTGGAAAGCATATTTAGTGACATAAATAATGATTGGCAAGGGTGTGAAACAAATTAAGTAACGCTTTCACAATAGGAGATTTGCAATGGGTTTGCTATTATACTTAGAGATATAGCTGTTTCCTACAATTATAATATAAACGTAAGTCATAACAGCTGTCTTTGCAAAATGACATGCTCTCATGGCAAACTCTTGGCTTGTACCAATTGTCACAACCATTGGTTTCCTGCATCTCAACATTACCACCAGTTGCTTAAGAGCTGAACTAGTAATGTGCCTTGATGAATCAGCTCAAGAAACTGGATTACTTGTGAGTTTATGTAAATAATTTGTCTATACTTCATGTTGCACTGTTTGGTGGAACACCTGATCAAAGGTGTCTGTGCATTAGAGTGGGCAAACAGTGGTTTTTACTCGGAACTGCCAAGGACCTTGGATACTTCCTTCTTGCAGAAGAAGAGTTTAATAAATGAACAGCAATGCCAAAACCAGGAGACAACTTTCCTATCATCTGAACACGAGTCAGATCAATTCTATTCTATAAGAGCAAGTCTGCCTATGTGCTCAAACATGTTTATTCTAGAAATGGCCTCTGAGCAGGGAGAGTTGTGGTTCGCTGACTGATTCTTCCATCTTGGCAGTCATAAGAACAGGCTCATCCAGTTTCATCTGAAATGTTTTGTTTTCCTTTGGAAAGCAATGATGATAACATTGGGAGTTCACAGTCAGTTCTTTAAAAGGGATGCCTAATTAATATCAAACTACCTGTGCCAATATCTGTCAAAACAGTTTAAGCCCACTCACTTTGAGAACATCTTCAAGAACAGCTGACACTAGGAAACTGTGGAAAAGAAATTCTGCTGGGAGGTGAGAGGCAGGGTTGGAAGGGTATGGCTCTCACTTTATTTGGACTTTATAATAACCGGAAAAAAAAACCCAATAAATACCTGACATCAAGATAATGCTGAAGTCCATTTTTTTCCATCAATTTCTTTCAAAATGTGTAGCTATAAACAAATCTAAATATGTTCATGTATCATACTAAATACATGAATATAATAGAAACTATAGGCATTTTTCTTTTAAGCAAAACTAAATCAGTAATATTCATAGCTGTTTTCTATTAAATAATTTTTTTTCAGTGAAAAATCTGTGCTGTGTCATTTCAACTATGAGAATCTTACAACCTGAGTTTCAGATCTTGACAGAAAGACTGGTAAAAACAGGTTACAGGTATGGTAGCTTTATGCAAACACATTTTTTTTTTTTCTAGGAACCCAGTCTCTGTTCCCACCCCACCTGCTACAGTAGTTCTCAAAGGCTTCATTAGGTCAAATTCCACTGGGAGGGAATCCTCAGAAGCTAATTTATTGTTACCACTTGACTAAACATCCATACATACTTGCACCTGCACACAGCCTAAACTGGAACACAGGGATTACTCTTGATTTCCAAGTGGCTGTTTCACCCCTGGATGTACAAAAAAATGTCCTGTCACCTGCTTTTCTGGTCTCACGAAGTCACCTCTCCTTGAATGAAACTCCAATCACAGCATCATCGCTCTTATTCTTAGTCATCAGAATTGTGGTTGTTTTTTAGAGAAGCACCGGGAAGGAAATCCCCATGGCTGTGCCCAATTTTGCTTTGCTTTGTGTCCTGGCCAGCTGTTAGATAAACAAACACCAAAACAAAGAGGGCCAGCTCCAGATCGCCAGTGCCAGCCACGCATCGCACACAGCCCCGGTCTCCCTCCCCGGATTTTCTGCAGGAAAACTCAATCCATGCGCGCACGCCCACAAACCTGAGCGCCCAAGGCACCGACTCTGGCCCACAGGGCACAGGCGGTGCTGGGGCGCCTGGAGTGGTTGGCAGCGCATTCCAGCAGCTGCTGCTGCCGCCCGCCCCTTCCGACTCACCAGACTTGCGAAGTTTCCGTGGAGAGGGCTGGGGGCAGATTGCAGAGCCGTAACTGCCCGTCCTAGCCCCCGACTCCTTGGGCTAAACCCAGCAGCAACAACCCAGACTTCTACTTCATGGGGACACCTCCGTCTTTTTCCAACCTGTGGCTCCTGATCGGCCCAATGCCGGCTGGTCCCCAGCCCCTTCCAGTCCGGACTTCAAGTGACACGTCTGGTAGCACCACCCCTTTGAGTATGCAGAGGCGACTGGGCTCCCGGAGGTTTGTGTGAGAAGAAGGCGTGTCCCTGAGTCCTAACGCGGATGTGCCGAGCTCACCTCTGCTAATCTTGCTGGTGACTCAGCCGCTGCAATAAAGACATACAATGTGGGATTTCTAGCCCTAGCATCGAGCTCGTTTTTATTCATCGGTTTCAAGTTGTTTTCTTTGACATCCTTTATTCGGGAAGCTCCAAGCACTTGTAGCGCCGGCATTTTTGCCTCTTGTCAGAGGGGGTGTCTCATCTACCCAGAGAAGAAAAAACTGAATTGCAAGGAGTTGGGGGAAAGACCTCCAGAAAATAAAAAAGGGAACTGGTAAGAAACCCAGAATTTAAAAGTTAGGATGTGTTTCTGAAGTTACTTCAAAGATCAATAGGTCACAATTAAACAAAATAATGAGCACAGTCACTGAGCAGGTATATATTAACTGCCTGCCAGGCAGCCCTGTACTGAACATTTTAGATTCACCCACAAAGCAAAGACTTTGGCTACCTCTCGTGGGGTTGCATTTTACATAAATTTAGCCATCATTATTTTACAGTTTTACAGGAAAGTAAGAAAGCTAGATCGAATTCAGACCACTATGGTAGCAATGAGAAAAAAAATTTACAAGTTCTAAAGCTGTGCTTGCATTCATGTTGGTGAAAAGTGATATAACTTTAAATGTCAACAGATTGGGTCTAGCACAGTGACTCAATTGGCTAATCCTCCCCCTGCAAGTGCCAGAATCCCATATGGGCACCAGTTTGCGTCCCAGCTACTCCACTTCCCATCCAGCTCCCTGCTTATTCCCTGAGAAGGCAGTGGAGGATGGCCCAAGGTCTTGGACCCTGCACCCATGTGGGAGACCTGGAGGAAGCACCTGGTTCTTGGCTTCAGATTGGATTGGCTCCGCCCAGGCTGTTTTAGCCATTGGGGACTGAATCAGTGGATGGAAGATCTTTGTCTCTCTATAAATCTGTCTTTTCAATAAAAATGAATAAATCTTTAAAAAGTCAATGGTTTAACTCCGTTCTGATCTGGTGCCTTAGCAATTCAGCAAGGGAGGTAGCGACCAAAGGGTTTCTTCTGAAAGGGGCAAGGGACCAGCCTCGAGCCAAAGTCCCACAAAACTGTAAACAGAAGGACCAGAGAAGCAGGGGAGAAGCTCCCACAGACATCTGTCTGCTCTATTAGACAACTGTGGAGAAGTTCTATTTTCTGTGCCTCCAATGATTGAGTTCACTTCAGTAAAGATTCACACATTTGGCTTCTATAGGTAGTTTTATAGGGCTGCCCTTGTATATTGGCAGCTCTCAGTCTACTCCCTTCTGCCAAAGTGAATTCCAATTCTTAAAATTTGTCTTGTGTCTATTAGGTGAAAATATATTAAGTCCAGGTTGTTGATTTTCAAAAGGAGACTCTGTATTGATGGTGGCTTACCCCACAGGCTGGATCCATGTATCTTACAAATGTGTGTCTCTGGACCTTGGGAGAAATAAATAAAAGAACCTTACAACCATGTCTAGATTCCTCTGTTGACACATTGACTTAAAATGATCCTCTCAACTATACAATGATAATCATATTTAACTAGTTAATATGACCACTGATTCTAGCATACACTAGAATGTGTTGGTCCTGTGTGCGATTGCGTTTGGAAAGCCCTTGCTCAGATATCACCTCATATGACTTTCATAATATTGCTTTGAAATAGCAAGGCATCCATACATTTAATGTTCCCATTTTGATGCTGAGGAAACTGGTTTGAGAAAGTCTGGCCAACTCAGCTAGAATCATGAAAGTCGGAGGGCTTAAAATGCACTGCTCCTAAGCACTGAACTCATGCCAGCCACTACATCATGCTGCCTCCCTCCCGCTTAGTATCTGCTTGTCACTCTTCTTCAGGACAGTGTGTCGTCTACCTGGTGGCTGTCCTCTCCAAAGGACAGCTCTCACGGAATACTTGCCAAATCCAGTCCTGTCTTTCAGGTTGTGAGTCTTCCAGCCAAGAATGTAATGGAATGCCACCACTCAGGAATGCTGGAACATGACCCTCCCTGTGGGAAGGGTCCCAGGCAAGGAAAGCAGGTGGAAGCCTATGAGAAGATTTGGCATGGCCATTTCGCAAAGGCTGCCTTGACCAGCAGAGAGCACAATAGATTACCCCAGAGATCCAGAGAAAACAGGGGACAATATTATGTGGTAATAGTAGTATCTTCCTGTTAACATAGATAAATTAAATAGATATAATTTCTAATCCAATTGATATAACACTACGATAATCAACAGATATATAAATGGACATATGGTTTAACCTCTGGTTAAAAATGTCACATGGAGGGCATGCATTTCCTTTCCTTTGTCCAAACTCCTTAGGATAGCAATAAATGAATATCTACAAATTACATAATCCATAAAGAAAGCGAGGGAACAGCAACAAAGAAATTGTAATGGATGTTTAGAAAAGTGTACTTTATGCGGGGGTGGAGGGGTGGTCTGTGGTAGTTAATTTGGAAGAGCAGACATTACAAACTGTATGACTTGCAGGAGGGGTTATGAATGAAAAGCAGCCAATTCCCCTGGCAAAACCTGGGCAGAGATATCATCATAGAAGGAGAGCAGGTGGCAGGGTAAACACAGGGGTTTGGTTAGACGTTGGAGCACAGAAAGTTCCTTACACACTGCCATTCAATCAACCAACCATAAGTTCCTCCATATGCTAAATGTAGGTTCCAAAAAACTAGAAGTTTATTTCCTTGAGAAAGTCAACTAGAGCAATGTGTGGTTCAACAAGATGAACTGAACACATGCCCTTTCACCTGGTTCCTAGAGAAAATAAAAACAGAAACATACCCAAGACATGTGGGAAAAAACTCTTGAAATCAAAAGCATATTTTTAACAGAATATAAATTTGAAAAAATCTTTAGGAAAGTAGACCAAGAAGTTATCTAAATTAAAACAAAAAAAAAAACATAGTGGTGGATTATTTTTTCTGGTTGGATGTACTATAATGTTCCAGGGAAGATTTCTGTAAGGATGGAAAAATTAAATAAAAATAAAGCACCAAGTATAATATCAGAAATAAATAGCATGAATTTTGAAGATCAAAAGCACACTAAAATTCCAAGAGAATATTTCAAATGAGTAAGTTCATTAGGGAAGTACACAGAGATACTCCCTTCTGAGCTAACAGAAGTCTGAGAACCAGGAGAGGAAGCTCAACCACCTTTCAGAAACAAACATGTTAGACCAAGGAAGAGAGTGGCATGAGATTTCTCAAGTGCCATCATGGAGCCAGAAGTCTCGGTGAGTGACTTTCCATATCTCAAATGAAATCAATTTAAACTTTGGAATCGTTATATCCATACAAACTGTCAGCTGAGTGTGTTTAGTGTCAGATATGCAAGTTCTCGAAACATATACTTTCAGTGTGCCACTTATAAGAATAAGGACTTCAAACAAGATGATGAATCAATCAACAATTAGACATGACAGCCCCCCCCCCCAAAAAAAAAAACCACATGGGTGTAACACAGGAGAGAGGAAGAGATTTCTCCAGAACAGTGACTAGGAGGCAGTCCTAAAGAGAAACAGAAGAATAATTTAGAACACAGTTCTTCAAAGTTCAGGGGGATGGGTGGGTTGAAAGGGCAGGAGGGAGGAAGACAGGCTATTTGAAACAAGGGTGTGTTAGAAAATTGCTAAGTGTTTAAATAGTGCAGAGCGACAGGGCTTCTCTTGTTCATGAGCACCCTGAATTCCAGTGAGTGGAGCATGAGTGATTTGAATGTGCCCACAGAATGATTTATGCCTGAACTTTTATTTATTTGGTAGTTGCGCACATACACAATCACATACACACACTGTGGGAGGGGAGGAGCAGAGAAGAGAGATCAACACAAAGAGATCCATAGGCTGGCTCATTCCTCAAGTGTCAGCAATCATGGAACTCACGTGGGTGGCAGCGTTCCAGCATCCTGAGCTGTCATGGCTGCCTCTCAGGGTACACCTTAGTAAGAATGTCCAAGTTGGAAGCAGAACCAATGTTTGAATCAAGACATTCGATATGAAATGAAGACATCTGGACCACGGAGCCTGGTGCTGGCCCTAGCCTCTGTTATGTGAGTTCTTGTTAACATCCAAGCACAGAGCATCAGTTGTGAGCCAGGAGGCCTTAGGAAGCCTGGAATGATTCTGTGACACAGAAACCTCTGTAGTCACGTTGGACTGAGACCTGAGCAAGAAAGGAACTTGGGTGAAGTCCCCAAGGCTGTGCCTTTCCTTTGTTATGGCAGTCGGGCCATTCTGATTGTTCTACTTGAAAAGACCAGTTGGAGGCACTTGAGAATAACTTACAGGAGGTACAATATGTGCTAAGTAAATTTTAAAAGGATATGGCCAATTCTGGGGCAGGGGGAGGGGGAAGATGTGAGAGAAGTAAAGCAGAATGAAAAGCATACCACTTTGTTCAGCAGTGGGTATAACCAGAACAGCAAAACATTGACAATGGGACTCACCTCCAATGCAGTAAAACTGGACACAGAGGGCAAAGATAGGGAGAAATGGACCCTTTGCGTATGTGTGGAAGACAGCTAGATGCTCAACAATTATCACTTAAAGTCCACAACCTAATGCATAAAATTGCTAAATGGAGAAATAGCATGAGAAGCAAAAACATCTAGGAATGTCCAAGTGCAACACAAACCATGAGTCAATGTTTGAGCAATACATGGGTTAAGAGTGGACTTCTGGCTACATTACACTATTTTGTTTTAGGCTATGAGTTGTGTTACCTTCATAAAAATAGAGTTAATCTTAAAAAAACAACTTTAAAATATTTATTGGAAACAATCAAGCATGCTTGCTCAA